TGGAGTCTGATGGGCTGGTGGGGAAGGAAGGGTTAAAGATGGGGGAGAGGGTGGGGCTGGGTCGTTGGGTGCAACAGTCATGTCCAATCTATTCACAGAGGCCGTTTTGGTGCATCATTTGGCCCTGGTGGCGCTTTCCTTTGAGGGGATGGATATGAAGGATAAAAGCCCTTCTGTAACACGAAGAATAATCCGTGGTCAATTCTGTCACAGCCATGAACAGGTCATCCTACACACTGCACATGCCATCCATCAGCAGCTGGTGGAGGCAGCTGCTCTAATTTAAGTACACTAGTTGGGATCATCTGTGGTTCAAATGTAGGTGAAAAATCATTGTGCCAAATGCATTTAAAGTTATTTGAACAGCTGATTGAAAACAGCGAGATTCTGGCTCTGGTTAAGTTGGAAAAGTATTGATAATTGCTTTGTGAGGTCAACTGAACTATAATAGCACAATTAGGAGTTATTACCGGCAGCTTGTTTCTGTATGTCAGTGCCATTGTGCTATGCAGCAGTCCTGTGAAGTCCTTTCAGGTATTTTCTGGTGTACAGTGTTTAGCATTGACAGGAGGTAATGAGGGTACAATTATGGCTCCTTAACCTTTTTATGAGAAAGAGAGAAAAGCCTCCGCCTCCGTTGTTTTTTTCGCCCTTCCTTCACATTTTGCTATCGTTTGTTACATTTGGCTGGTTTAATGTTTCCATAAGGGGCGTCCTGTATGTCAGCTTTCACAATTCATGTTTGAAATGTAGGCTGGCCAGGTCAGAACGGAAGGGCAGTCTTTGTAAATATTTCAACAGCCATATTACTAAATGCTTTGACTTAATTGTTTCCTTTATTGCTTTAATATAGCCAACATACCACTGTGTTCATTCTGAGATACATCTACATGTCCTCCATTTGTTCTGCTGGGCACATACGGCTTATTGTAAGGAAACGTGTGACATTGTCTGACAGGGAGGCCTGTTCCACACTTGAAGCTGTCCCACAGATGTGGACCCCAGCCCTGAAGGAGGGGTGGTGGCCACAAACACACCATCCACTGCGACCTTTGAACCTGTCCTTATTAAGCCCTTGTGGACTCAGAAGGGAGTCCCCACCACGCTTCGCCTCACGGCTACATGTTGTACTTGCCCATGGCTAATGGCATGACACACACACACACACACACACACACACACACACACACACACACACACACACACACACACACACACACACACACACACACACACACACACACACACACACACACACACACACACACACACACACACACACACACACACACACACACACACACACACACACACTTGCTTACTGTAGGTTTCCTTTAGGACAGCGGTTGATGGAGGTTGACAGCTCCTCAACACACACCCTGTGCCCAAACCCCCAAGCAGTGGGCTTTTGTGTGTGTACATGTGTATACGTGTGTGCATGTGTGTGTATATGTGTGTGTGTGTGTGTATCCTTCATGAGCAGCTGCCTTCCCAACCTCCCTCGCTCCTACTCCTCTCCTCTCTCCCTGGTCCTCTTCCCGTTCTAACCTGTCCGTCCATTTGAAGGTAACAAGACTCTGCACTTTGCAGCTCTCCCTCTCTGCCTCTCCATTTTTCTCTCCCTCTCCCTTTCCTGTATGCGTTTCAATAATCATATGCTGCAGCTGTGCTATGGCCAAACCTCCAACAATGAAGGAGAGCAAAAGCAAGGGTTAAAGGAGCTGGTAGATTTTTGGCAACAGATCAGGGCTACGGGCTCGCTCTAATGCATGGGAGGAAGGGTGAGAGAAGGGGGAGGGAGGAATGAAGCAGAGAGAGAGTGATAAAAAATGAGTGCCATGGAGAGTTGAAAAGCCTTGTTGCTTTCCCACTCCGCTGGTTACCAAGGGATCAACAGGGTGCTAAAAGCACTCAGGGGAGGAAGAAATGGAGGGTTCTTTTTGGTTTGGGGAAGGGATAGATTCAGAATGATGGAGAGACAAAGAAAGAGGGAGAATGGAAGGGCGGGACAGATGGATGTATATTTAGCCTGTGTCTCTCCTCTGACCATCCACTGTCACTCAGTGCATGGCTTTGCTTCTGACTCAAGGACAGACAGTAAGTGGGCTGGCAGTGAATATAAAGGGAGATGGCTTCTTCTTCTGCCCCTGGTCACAAGGAGACACTGACCCCTACACCACTGACTCAACTACTATAGCAAGAAGTTAGCAGCTATCTTTGAGGACCTCACTGCTTGAAATGTCAATCTTAACAAGTAATTACTCATTATATCCAGTGTGTGTCTGTGTCTGGTTAGAGCTCAGTCTTTGTCCTGAGACTATAATGAAGAGGCGCTGCCCTTGCTGGTTGGATAGCCCCGTCTTAACCCAGTGTCAAAGTGTCAATCATGCATTTCTGGTTACGGTGGAAATGTACAGGCAGTGGAAGCGTGTTGCACATTATAATATGATAATAAAAACACTTACCACAGCTGTGCCCTTACAGAACACTAGCACAAACAAAACCAGGAGCGTAAGACTGGCATGTCTTTTGTTTCAGCTAGATTATGACGATATGTTTCACTTTAGAGCTGCAAAACATTGGTACATTTTTCACAAAAGCATTACGAATCCTGTCAAAGCAGTGAAATGATTCCTCTTTCATATCTAAAGCAGTCCACAGATGTCCTTGTGAGAAAAGTCAAAGTCTGAAACAGGAGTGTGTAAGGTGGACCGCTGCGTTTTGTGTTTAGAAAATAAGATGAGAAGAATACAGCTATATGAAAAGTTTTTGAAACGAATGAAAATCTCTTTCTTTCTGGAATGGTTCCCACTTTTAAAAAGTTCAAATTTGCAGAGGCATACATTTATAAAACGCAATTCCCCCCTACATGATCTTTTCTGAGCCATTTTCTTTATTCTCTCCTCGAGCTCTCTCTGTTTTGCTCACCCTCATGAAACTTCTTCATTTTTTTATCACAAGTTTCTCTTTCCTTTACAGCTATTTTCACAGTTCCTTTTCCTTTCTGACACCAGTCACCTGGTATATACCTAAATAGAAATATCACCTCCCTTTAGTGCTCCTCTGACATCTGCTCGTACCACAGTTTGGTAATTTACGTGTCACATTCACACGTAACCTGCTTGGACTTTTTGCGTTTGGCCTTGTGCAAGTGAAGCATCCCTTCACCTTTGTGCACTGACTTGCAGATAGTCTTTCCTTTACTTTTTCTTAATTACATCAAATATAATACATTTTTAAGGGAACCACTTATCTTCACCAGCAAACTCACAGACAGAAGATTGTTGCTGAGAGCGACTGAAGTTAATTACATGTCACTTTCTGTGATGATACACTGAGTTCACTCGTCTAATGAGACACAAGATGATGAGCACCATCACCTCCTTCCTTCTGTATGAACATTTCTAAAGTCAACATTCTATTGGCTTACCTACCTCCGTTTTAGCCCATCTCTTTGTAAAGCATATACTTAAAGTATGGTACAATATTTATTCTTCTTTTCCAATTTCACATGTCTTCTCCACTTCATGCTCTCCTGTCTTTATTCATTGATTCCCACAGGTAGACGGGTCCTTTGTGCAAAGCATATATATGTTAAAAAAAAAGAAAATCAGCCAACCCACCTGGGGGGGTTTTCATAAAAGCCTTTGTGAATACTGGGCCCCACTAGGCACCTGGGACCGCAGCTGACACGTAATTAAAGGGCTGACTGATGGACTGGTTCATTCTCATACAGAGAGGAAATAGACAGGTAGAGGTCTCTTTAGCTAAGGTAGACTGCAGAGGAAAATGTCCTCCCCCCACGCTTATAAATAAATAGGTGAGAGAGTCCCTCTGTGCCACGCCTGTGTGTCACCAAAGATATCCTGGGCTCTGAAAGGGTTTGAATCCATTTCCATAAAGAAACCATCATGGCACAGGACCTATTTGGATGTGTTTGACATTTCAGCCAAAGAGAAGAGAAAAAGGGAAGGTGAAGGGTGAGGGCGGGGAAATAGCGGTGGCTAACAAAGCGTTTCAGCAGACCCTCAGAGGAGACGTTGCACTGTCTGGGGGCTGACAGGTTCACATGCACGCACGCACGCACGCACGCACGCACGCACGCACGCACGCACGCACGCACGCACGCACACACACACACACACACACACACACACACACGGAGCAGCAGTTACTAACAGGACTAGAAGAAATGCTGAACTGACCTTGTCCTTTTACATTTGAAATGTTGATGACCACTGTTCTTGTCACTTGTTGATGAACCTCCCATGTATCTAACCTTCAACACATGCATAGTTGAAATGGAACCTTAGGTTATTAAATCTGTCTCATATTCTACATGCTGCATGTCAGCACTGCATGAAAGTGCCCTGCTCAATCTGTACCATCCCCGTAAAGAGAGCTCAGATAAAGATTGTATCCCCCATTAAGGAGAGCATGAAGCCGCTCCCGTTCCAGAGCCTAGTTAAGTCCTCAGATGTCTGGCTGCCCTGTAGAAGCCACCGCCTACCGGCCCCGCTGCCTAATGGCCCTGAAGGAAGATGAGTAAATGAAATGAAGAGAGTGAGACGCACAAATGACAGTGTGCGCGACCACTTTCCTTCACTCTGGTCCCGATCGCATCACCGCAATAAAACCCCGGCAGCGGTGCCACGCCCCGGACCAGACCTGATTGATCGGGAAGGAGCAATCGATCACGGCCACTTTGTCACTACAGTCACTGAAGTTTTTGGCTCCGAAAAGAATGTTTCTGTAGCATCCTCAGTGATGACGTCTTCACTTTACTGAAAGTCTCTTTTGATTTAGAATTGAGGCCGTTACTTGTTCCTGCAGGTAATTGGATTAAAAGCCAGAGGAGAGATATAGGCAGGACCGAGGGAGATGCAAGCACAGCCAAATAATAAATGATGACATTGAGAGTGTGAGTGTTTTACTTTGCTGGAACAGGCTTTTAATGATTTACCCTTCCCTTTTTTCCCTTTTTGTTTCTTTCTTTTTAGGAGGAGGAGGAGGAGGAGGAAGAAGAGCGAAGGAGACAAGAAAGGAGGATTGAACGTATAGAGCCAGTAGGGAGGGCTGATTCTTCACTGGAACATTCACCTGGGTTTAGTCTAGAGTAAGTGATCCCAACAACCCCCCTGACCACACATACACATATATACTATACCATATGTCTTTCGTATCCACCTTTTATAGTTTTGGTTTGACTTTTCCATTTAAAATCTGCGTTTTCTGATCTGTCTGCCACCACAAAATGATTTAGTTTGCAGTGCTGTTTTTTGCAAAGATACCCTGGCAACGTTTCATGGGGAATTACTTTCTTTAGAATAGTGCCCATTTTTTTCTGTATAAATAATGGGAAGTTATTGTTAATGTACGCTTGCGGTAGCATGTAGCTCTAAGGATTCTAATGTTAACCATCGATCCGGTCACCACAACTCTGATTCATTGTATTGGGGTGGGGTGGCTGAGGAAATCTTAAAACCTGGGGTTAGAGGTAAGAAAACAAACTATACATTTTGTAATTGTTTGGGTGAAATTACCTTTTAATGTATTAGAGTAATACAGGTTGAAAATTGCCATCACATTTGACCAAATTACAATAACAATAGAGTACATAAACACCACGCCCCCTTCCATCAACATCATCACACACATCTGCATCACCGGTAGCTTGTGTTCATTTGTCTTCACGTCTTTATCTACACAAATGAACCTTCTCTTTCTCCTCCTCCGTTCCCCAACACGTTTTCAATTAATCTGTTCTCTTTTAGCACAACACTCTGATCCTAATCACTTAATTGAAGTCTCCATTTGGGTCCCTAATCGACCCTGAGGTCCACCAGCCTGACTTTGTAATGGATGACTTTGTGTAGACAACACAATGCAGCCACCACCAATAAGGCCGCACCAACCCCCATCCCATACATCCCATCAACTTCGTGTCATGTTGACTGTGTCGTCTTTTATATCCTGCTTTTCTACATTTTCTTGTCATTCCTGTTGTTTTGTATTCATGCTTGTCTCCCCCGGCCTCCCCCCTCCTCTCCCCCCCCCCCCCCGGCCTCATCCATCATCGTCCTGCAGAGGCCTGCTCAAGCCAGTCGAAGTGTCCAATGGAGGAGGGCCCCTGGGGATCCACGTAGTGCCGCTCAGTTCGCACGATATCAGGTAAAAAAGAGATTGCAACATTTGAATCAAAGCAGCTTAGTGCGCAACAATAGCTAGTTAGTTTCACCATCCAATGTGCCTCCTACTTCCTTCGGTTCGAAGGCCTGTGGATGTTGCTTTCTTGTTGCGTTTACTCATCATTTTCTCACTCTGTTCTTTCTTATTCACCTCTTTTAACATTTGACTCCAGGTGGTTTTTTTTCACTGACTGATTGTTCTCGCCATCTTTTTGTTTTTGTGAGTCCCACTTCCAAAACACTACGCCCATACCCAGCAATACTCATATCTGAAAGGCCAGAAGCCCCCAGTGGGAAGAAAAACAGATGAAAGCAGCTCTGCTCTTGACTGCATGCAGTGTTATTCTTTTACTTTATTCTAACCTATGTCCTCAGTCACAACGGTGTCTGCTCTGCCTTGAAGGTGATTAAGACTGCTTTCTTTTGCCCTTTTATTTAAACATGTGAGTAGTGTCGATGACAAGGGGACAAGAGGAGCATACATCCCAGTTTTACAATTATTCCAGAAAAAGAAAGGAAAGAGGAAGTAGCCAGATGTAATCAAACTAAAAGCTTGTGTATAACACAGATCCCCGCTGCAGGCCAAGGGACTGGCACAGCACCAAGGTGAATGTGACTACTCAGCGCTGGGAAAGAGGAGGGGGGGGGTGAGGTGAATAGACAAAGTGAGGAGATGGAATGGGATGACATTTGAGGGAGAGAAGCTGGCTGTCATTGAAGACTGCTGCGTGTCATTTCTTTGGGACACTAATCCCATTGCTGTTTATAAGCAAGTGTCAGGAAACTATATTTAGCTCTGACCTCGTGCTATTGACTCCTTTAAAAAGCTGTGGCACGATGAGATATCCTGAGTCAGAGGAACAAAATAATGATTCATGATGACTCGCACTCAGCAATATCGCTTGAATAAAGTTCAAATCCAACATTTATTAGGCACGCTATTATCCTTAAGCTCTTCCCACAAACTCAAACTGCATCTTACAAGATAGAGCGGTAATGCTGCTTTGTGAGTAGATTTCTTCTCCATCAGCTAAGGTAGGCACTAATAGCCATCAGAGCCTTCAATTAACTTCAGACATGATAAGACTTAGCGTCTGGTCAGTGGGATGATGCTAATGGCCCAGCCCAGCTCCTTCCTGTGTGCTGTGCGCTAGGACAGGAGGCATTAGCCTCAGCGGGCTGTCATTAGTGTCTAGACCAGTGCCACAGGGGTCAGACAGACAGCGAAAGCAGACAGCAAACAAGGAACTGCAGGCGCTCCAACGTCGCCTGATCGCATTCTGCTTCACTGTACTGACATCAAGTTAGATCCAAGCAGGAGGGGCAGACAGCTCCAGGAGAGAGCTTAGAGACTCTCTATCTCTCACAAACACAACCAAATGCACATACCTTACACCCATGCAGTGAAGGGTATGGACTTACCTCCAGCAGTGTGTTCCCGAAAGGATTTTTGCTATCACTTTCTTTTTCTTACACACACGCAAACTGTATTTTAAGCAGTGCTGATCTGCCTTGAATGCTGCGCACATAATTATACTGTACATCTGCACGCTCAAATACCCACGCCCATCGCAGATGCATTCTTTGCTTAATGAACTTCTCATTCCATGACCAGTTTCGATTGTAAACAAACTGCGGACATAATTGCCGTGCATAAATAGATCCTGATTGGATTATTATTTGATTAAAGGCAGGAGACGAGAGCAGGTGGCCTCCTTCAAATCATTTGTCAGCACTGCTGCCCAGCCACAAGATGGAGTAAGGCCATGCAGTGTAGTGCAATGCTGATTCTTATGTTTTAGAAACACTGACATTTAGCAGGCTAGATGTATTTCCTGATGTTTGTAACTACAAACTCCATGTGCTCATATCCAACACCGAATTAATTCACTGACTAACACCCTGTGGGAAAATACCTTTTAGATTTTTCTTTAGCTCTCCTGCAAAAAGCAGCCCAAGAGCTTGAAAACTATCCACAAAAAAAGCCATCAGTGAGATGAGGAGGAATTGAGTTGGCAGTGCATTACAGCCATCACAATAATAGTGCTTTTACTAAATCATCTTCTTCAAATCTCCAAAAGATGCTGCTTTGCCCCTAATCCTCCCTGTTGCTGCTTTGAATACTGATCAGGGATCAACCAAAACTCCTTTATCTACTGTCTCTGCTCTGCTAGCAGATCAGGAGTCATTAGAGTGTGTCCATGATGTAATCTCCGTTCGCAATACTTTGTTTTCAAGCTGCCAACATTTATGGAGATAAAGCACAATCATGTCCGCTTCCACGCGGCCCGCAATTACTCTCTGTTCAACACACTTAAGCTGACCTGGCAACGCCGGCTCGGACACCGAGAAAGAGGGAAGGGCCTCTTGTGATCTTTAATTTCAACTTAATGCTGAGCCATTTCCCCGCATTGACGAGCTGAGATGAGTCTGTGGTGAGAGCGTGGATGTCCACATTAAGCAGCCAATTAGACCAATGTTCAGAGAGTGGCCCTGTTTGGCTGAAATGCTAAAGAGCTCGAAAAATCTGCCCTTGACGTCTGCAGTAAACAGGGTCACAATGAAATGTGCTGTTGTTTATGAGTCCAGTACAGGAAGTATCAGGAAATTATGAAAATCAGGCAGCTTATGTCCTTGCTATGGATAAGCTGTCAGCTGCCCTGTAAGCAACTGTATCTTGTACATCTTTGGCTCCGGAATAGTTTTGGCTCTGTTATATTTCATCATTATTTTTAATTTCCCAAAAGTAAGCTTCCAAACTTTTTGTCAGTTATTGCAAGGACACCAAATGTTTGCACTCAGTCAGTCTACCTGCTACCTCAGGCATCTTGCGCCTTAGAGACGGATGGAGTTTGTAGTTCTGCTGTGCGAGCGCACATCAGATCTCTTTGCATGTGGTTATCCTCAGGGCCTAACTAAAGCCCCAAGGAGCTCACTGATGTATTTATCTAGGAGAGGGAGTGAGGGGAGGGGGGGGGGGGTATTTGAAGGTAAAGGTTGCCTTCTTTTAAGGGATTGCTGAGATGGCCCTGCTGTGGAACTGCCTGAGTATTTATTATAACACTGCCGGCTCTCGTATTAAGCTCCGGTGAAGGAAACTGCAGCGTTTCCTCTGCAGCCATGAGATGATCTCTTAGCTGCTGGTCTGGATTACCCCAGACAAACCGCCCTGTCATTCTCTCAAACCTGCCCACAGAAAGGCAGATAGAGTGGAGGACAGAGGGACGGACACCGGCTTAAAATGTTGTAAATCAGTGGTTCTCAGGAACATTTTAGTCTTTATCTAAACTCAAAGTTTCGAAAGTTAACTTAAAAAAGGTTAACCCACATCAACAGGAAACTTCTTTAAGGGATATTTTAGTCCATCCTTTTTCATATTACATAACTTTATTAGATATTAGGGACTGCTGCTGCCATACTTTTTAACAATGCCTATTTCAGATATGCATTAGCCGTTAATATTTTATTACTTTCATTCCAACTGTCTGGACACCTATTACGGCTACTATAATGGCCAAGGACATTTTTAGATGTATGCATATCCGTTAGGCCAAAACTTTTTGTTTAGTTGAAGTAAAGTACATTATGATTAACTTAAAGTTACTCTCTTGACCTAATTACACTACCTCAGCCTCTGTTGGGGCTAACAAAAAAACACTTGCAACTCTCTGTTGCACTGTTGTTTGAAAACAACCAACTCTGGTTGTTTTCTAATCATTTCTAAACTAATCATTTATTTTCTCACCTTATGCTTACCACCTAGCTCATCTTCTAATTCACTTCCTTTTTTCTTTGCTGGTCTCCTGTTGACTCTCATTACCTTTTTCTAAATAGGAGGATGCAGGGGATGTAGCCTGCAACTTGCTGCCTGCTGCTCAGTATATTAATATGTCACTGTGTCTCCTAACTACTACAGTATGTGTCTCAACGATGTGTTATCTCTAACATGATGTGTGATCCTTCACAGGACGCAGGGCTTGCTGGTTAAGCGTCTGGAGCCAGGGGGAAAAGCCGAGCAGGAGCGACTCTTCCAGGAGAACGACTGTATCGTCAAAATCAATCAGGGAGACATTCGTCACCTACGCTTTGAACAGTAAGCTCTGAATTCCTCCCTTTATTCATGATTATATATCTTACTTAATTTCTTATAGTGGTTCCAAAAAGATATAAGACATACCGTGTTATCCTGGTGCACTGTCTCAGTAATACGGTTGAAACTGAGAGCACTGTGTTAGGCATAAATAGCAGTATATAATCTTGCTTTCTATAACTCGAGCCAAACATTCAGCCGCACAATAAAACATAAATATGATTGACTTTCTTGACCCTCTTGTAATAGGTTTCCCTGAGTCACAGTCCTTCAGCCCTCGGAACCCTACACTTCTCTCTCCATTTGTTTATATCGATTCACCGCTCGCATTCATCCCTTAAAGTGGAATGAAGATTTCACCTGGGACTTTTCCACCCATTTACCCAAAGCCACCCTTCTCCCTCTCACACACGCATCACCTTAATGTGCCCAATCTCACACATACTTGCACATGCGCTGACACGTACACAAAGTTAGAATAAGCTTTAACATCTTATCTACACTTGTCTTTGTGTGTGTGTGCGGCGCGCTAGAGAAACAGATTGCTTCTCATTCTCACTAGACTCTGGTGGAAAAGCTGGATTACCTCTCACAAAGGCCCAGATTGGGATGGATATTAAAAAACACCTTGGTTTAGTTCTAACCTGCTGATGATTGACAGAAACCAAGTTTCACCTCTATAGAGGTAGAGTCAGAGACAAAGAGAGAAAAGTATTTTCTTTAAGCAAGCATACCTTAAAATGTTACAACCAACTTTGGCAAAGATTAGACAAGCTCTCCGTAGCTTGTGAAACTCCCGACGATCACGGTTACCTTACAACATTATGTGCTCATCTGACTGTGTATAAAGCCACTAAGGGTTTAGGATTTTTTTTATTTTCAAAACGATGCTATTGTCATTAGTAAACATCCCGGTTTCCTTCCAAACCTTTCTACTGTGAAAGAGGCTTACAAACCAAATCCACTAGGGAGTGATGTTTTGTAGCGTTCCGCACTTACCTCCCCACCGTGCCAAACACGCGTTCCTCACCGGCATCCAAATGCATATGATGTTTGTGATTCTGCATGAAAATGAGGTGAAGTAGCTAAACTTTTCTTTCCCCCTCCCCCCCTCGCTCCATCATCACTTCCGCCCCCCCCCCCCCCTTCTGATTGTGCCTTGCAGAGAGTGACAATTTAAAGTGATAGTCTAATCTCCTTGGATTGTTTTGCATGGGTAAATATTTTGAGGCGCTTAATCTAACTGAATGTAATGATGCATTGATGGGGTAATTTATTATTCAATCAGGCTTGCGTGGAGGCTGATTACTGAAGTGATGGCACTGTATATGTGCAGGTGCGCACACAAACACGCATACACACACACTTACTCACTCAGTCATCGCTCCTCAGTGTGCACATGAGAGTGATTTTTGTGAATTACCATAAGAATAAAGATGGGAGAGGCCAAATCCTGCAGAAGTGGCTTGGTGCAGCGTGCGCGCCTCGCCTCTGTGACTCTGCTCAAATGAAGTGCTGTCTGTTGTGGCAGAAGCAGCTTAGCCGCTGTCATTTGGATACAATCAGCATGGTATTACTGGCGTGGTAATGGGGGTTTGGAAACAGGAGGTGGGATTGTTGGAATCCCGAAATCCACCGCATCTCTGGCCCCTTATGCTGCAGCATGGCTCGCTCCTGGTGAGCCTATCTATATGCTAAGTGCTACAGGCAAACCAGACTAAACAATTCATGCGTCTGGGAATCATGTTGAGCTCTTGTCTTGGCTTATTCGGCCCCAAAAGTCACATGAGAATGAGTGTGTGTTTTGGCTGTGTTTTTCTTATTTTGTTTGTAAGGAGAGAAGTGTGTGTCTGCTTACTTTGGAACCTCATTGTCTGGAAAGCTTTCTTGATGCATGATTCATTACTTCTGTTCTGATTATGGAGTCAACTCATGTCCACACAGAAACACAGACTACTATGCCATTAAGACACTTAAATGCCCCTCATCCAGCATGTTTCAGTAGCATCATATTGAATACATCATATATATTTTCTCATTGATGACTCACCTTTCTTATCTCATTGCTGCCTTGATGCTGGTAATTATAGATAATGTAATTTGTGTCCTTTACTGCTATGCGGTGAGTAGCCCTGTGATTAGCCATGCTAACCTCATATCTCCTTATCTTCTCTCAACATACAGCACCACACAGCCTCTGTTATCCTTCTATATCTGGCAAGCTATGATAGTACATTATTGTACTTGTATATCTTATCATGTTAAATCTAATTTACTTCTGTTTGCATGACCTCACTGCTCTCTTTCACTTTCTCTGTATCACCTCCAGAGCCCAGAACATTTTCAAGCAGGCGATGCGTGGCCAGGCTATCCTCTTCCATGTCGTCCCCGCGGCCTTTAAAAGACATTACGAGATGCTGTTTATCCAGAGCGAGCTCAGCCCGCCCCATCCCAACAGAGTCCGCTTTAGCCAAGATTCTCAACCGCCGAGGGACAGGTCCAGTCTTGTGGGGGGGATGACACCCAGAACTGGACCACAACCAGGCTTTGACAATGAGTATGTTTAAAAGTTATCTTGTGTATCCTATCCAGCAAACATGTTGTCAACACAGAATTAGAAGGCCAGGTGAAAGTGAGAAACACAGTACCATGAATTTAATGTTGTCCTTCTGCTTTGAAAAATAACAAAAGTTCATGCTTGTGCAAATAATTAGGCTAAGCAGTCTTAGGCTCCCAATAAATGCAATTCTATTTTAATTATACCGGTAAATGACTTTTTTTATGTTCACTGTGAATCCATCAATGTTTAAAAGCTTCACAATAAAAGAAAAGCAAGCAGTTTATTAGCAATTTATACCTGAGACCTCCAAGTCTGCATCACTGATCATCTTGTTAAAAGCCCATTTGATCTGCCAGTGGTTACTATTAATTTCTGTAATGTCTTTGGCCTAATTCCAGGAAGATACAGTATCTCTGCACAGAGATACTTATGTAATGTTGAGTTATGGGAACCTGAAAGATGATGGCAATATATAAATACCTTTAATTCAAAACAGTATGTATTATAAGCTAAAAATTAAAAGGACATTCCATGTTTTTAACAAGATAACCCCATAAGCAATGTTATTCAAGTTATTTTCTGAAGAAGAGCATTTTAACCAACTGAGTGATCCAGGTAGCGAGCAGGGTCAGGACAATATCATTGTTTTCAATAATGGCCCAAAACTGATACTTGAAACATGTGCTTATTTTTTTATAAAATATACACAAAATCCTAAAACAGCATGCTGGAAATGCTTAGAATTCCACCACATTGTGTTACAGTTTATTTGATTTAGGTATTAAACCTTGATCTGTGTTTCTCTGTAGCCACCCGGCGCCACTGGCAGGAAGCACCCCAGAGATGAGCCGACGGAGCGCCACGTTACCGCACACCTTGGTCTCCAGAACCTCCTCTGCCCACTCCCCCTCCCTGCAGCGCAGGGTGAGCACAAACCCGTCCAACAGCACCTACGTAAAGAACAAAGGACGCAGATTCAACATCCAGCTAAAGAAAGGTAAGGAACAAGAGACTGGAAAAGTACTTTTGCTGCTGCATTTTTATGACTAAACAATACTCAAACTAAACAACTTCTATATTAGCATGGAGACCAGTCCAATAGCACTCAAACTGTATGGTGTTTTTCTGACCTTAAATATCTTTATATTTTCTATATTTGTTTGGTATCATGATGCCCAGCAAAGAGCAAGTAGGGCACACCTTTTTTTCTTTAAAGTGTCAACAGTTGATGTTGTTTTCTTAAATGCATACAGCAAATGTTATGGATAGTCAGCAACAACAAAACAATAAAACTACTTCCTGGAAAAGTCAATGTGTTGAGTTACTCACATGAGTCACCTTTATTGGCAAACCTGTTTTATAGCGATGAAACTGGTGATGTGACAGCTGAAAATACATCTATTGATCTCCACCTCCAGGAGCATTCAATTGCTATTTTGATCACCAAGCAGCTGAAACCAGTTCAGCCTTCAAGTGAAGAGCAGATGGATATAGCACCTGTCTCTCTTGTTTCTATTTGTGCCTCTATTACCAATGTTCCACTCAGTCACCCGTCTAAACTCCTCATTACAAAGGGCTGTCTCGTGATCTGTATGCATTTTTAAATGTAAGCAATTGGTTGAGGCAGACAACCTCAAATCTGTTAGAAAAATATGTACTTGCCTTGAGACTTTGTTTAAGCGAGCAGGCCAAAAGAAAGCACAGATCAACCGCTTCTTCAAAACAGAGGTTGTGGTTTGATGCACTCAGGCTACATCACCACGGTCTTGTGGTTGAAATATTAAGATTGAGCAATCAGTCTGCTTCCAGCTGAGGTTGGTTTGTTTGTGGACTTGGACGGGCCTTTGAAACTGGAGCAGTATATCTGAGCCAACCATTGTGTTGGGTTTACTGCCAGACTCCATCTCATTTTCATCACCTCACTATCTGTATATGATTGACAAGCAGTCGGTTGTAAAATGAACCAGTGCTGAGGCGACTAGACTTCTCTTTGTCTCTGGCTCCTTTCTCCTTTTCTCAGTTGAAGGGAGCAGATGTTAAGTCAAACGCTGGCACGGGGAATAGTGCGGCAAGTGAGGGCAGCAGTGCAGGCTAAATGAAACGCGCTCGGGGGAAATGCAGTCGCTCTAATATGTTTGGCGGCGCTCACCAAGCCCTTCTATCAGTCCTTATACATGTGGGACAGCAATGCAATTTATACTTTTGTGTTTAAACTTTATATGTATCACGTCTTTTTTTCCTGCACACAAGCCTCCCATTTTTAGTGAAACCGCTGTGGGGCGATGTTGGTGGAGGTCCAGCAGCTCTAGAGGACTGATGCCAGCAGTTTATTTAATTTTTACTAGCCATTTCATGGTTTCATTCAACACTGGCCATAACTCTCAAAAGTAAGCTCATGCCTGAGTGACAGAAATGGTTTCTGAGATTATTGATCATGATTTAAATGGGGCTTACAGGAATGGATGTGCCTCGCTTGTTCAAGCCATTCGTGAACTCTAAATGGGTATGAAATATTGTCCAAATATTGTTGAATTGGAAACCTAACTGAGCATTACAATCCAAAAGAGTTGAAGGAAGTGTGCCCCTGAAGTCCATTTTGACAATTCCATTTCATTACTAACAGACTTTATCACTACTAATGTACTTTGAAAAAGGCTTCGGCACTTTTGTTATTGACACATTGTAATTGTTGTGGCCTAAGTGAGTTCCGAGTGGCAAGAGCAGATCTTGCCTGGCAAATTATCAAGAGTGCCCTAATCAAATGCTGCAGTCGAAAAGGACATACGCACCCCATTAAGTCATTCTAATGTGCCTCAGCCTCTCCTCATGTTCGCTGTTTAATTGGACTATTGGAGCCAGGATTCCAACTAATCCTTAAAGGATGCGTTTACTTTTATCCTTGTCTTCCATTGCCCAAAATAAAGACGTCAGCGCTTAATCACTGCAGGCCTGCTACAGATGCATTCTCTTAATTGCCTGATTGGAGAGTGTTAATGACGGGATCTTACAATGGGCAGGAGTTTGATTCTGCTCATTAGGCCGTGAGCAGGCCAGATGAGAGGAAAGGCACCGACATGGGAGGGGGGTCACAGTGGAAAGGGGAACAAAGACAGTGATGAAGAGGTTTTGAAAAGGGCACCACCAACTGCAGCTTAATCAGATCTGAATCTATAAGACAGAGGTGCAGTAGGATATCACCGACCATGTAGTCGTTTAGAAAGGACTGGAATCACATATGTCTTCTTTTATTAGTCTCTGTAGTTTAATTTTGAGTATAGCAAATGCACTTACTGATTGCCATGGCTGCGGTGTGACCTTGTATTAAAAGTTTTTCATTGAAGAAGTCAAGCTCTGCACATTTAACATTCCACATAAGGCAGCTATTTCTATCTGCTTAGTTATCATGCAGCATTGATGGAGAGATCACTGCACGTCATTATCCTCAACAGCTCAACTTTTTGACTTTAGAAGCAGCCCCTTCATCACCTTTCCCGCAAGTTTGTTTGTGTGAGGAGGGCACGAGAAAAGTTAGCATCCGCGCTTCTCGCTCTTTGTGTTTCTTGTTCATCAACGCCATCACTGTCAGCGAGACGACAGAGAGTTTGTCAGACTGCTGCAGAGACATACTGGGAAAAGTAGGTCATGATGAACCATCCGAGGTGCTGACAGCTCTGTGAAATGAGCAGCTACTTTGACATGAATACTAATCTCTGTTGTTAGCATCAAAAAAGCCTCCTATGAAACCACATCGCGCAACTTTTCTATATGTCTGCTAGAAACGCCAGCGGCTAGGTTATGCATGGCGGAATTGATCTCTTTGAACACTGTATTTAATGACTCATCTAATTGTGTTATGAAGCAAGGTTGTTGAATTTTTTAATGGTTTGTCAAAGATTAACCTGACAAACGCAATTTATTTGGTTAACCTTATTCCCGAGCTGACATTTAAAACCATTTCAGGCTTTTATTTGACAAATTCAGGTCTGGTCAGCAGAAAAGGTCAGGCCTGAGATCCCCTTATTTATCTGTTATTTTATTTACTTACTTCCTCAAGGGCAGCAATTCATATTCATTTGATAAACGTTAAAGGTCAGTCTTAAAACCCAAATCAAATAACTCTCACAGCTGCTATATGAGGTGCTTTCTCATAATCAGCTGTTGAATGTAGCCTTACCAGTCATTGCACTCCAAGAAGGCATGTAGATTTGTTCATTGATACATTAGTAGGAAGCTATTAATGAACACAAATTGAACACTGCTTTCTACATTATGCCCACTTCAAACCATCTCTATATATATAGTATAAAATTACTCTGACCCAGACTTGCCCTGCCATTGTACCGTGAAGTATGAAGGGTTTTTCGGTTCAAACATCTGGCACATGGTACTTAGATGATTTATAAAACAGCATTTTTGCTTTTTTAGATGTAGTGCACGACTGTGTATTGAACAGCATTTTAATGCATTTTGCAATCCATAATCATTCACTTTCCTCTGCTTATTCTGGTCCCAGCCAGTCTTTAATCCGACCACTACTTGCGAGAGCGGTTATAAGTCCACATGCGCTTATCATAAACACTCAATTTTGGTTCATAGCATTGACACTATATTTAGAGTTAGGGACACATTTTCATCTGGACTTCCCTAAAGAAAACGTGCTTGAGACACACCCTGATGGCAAAGATGGAAGTAAGTCTGTTTATATTAACTATAGGAGGTTCAGCACATGGTGGAAAACCATAATTTCATCCCTGCATAGTGGTTTCATATGTTAAAGTGGTGTATAATGAAAAGGTTCTTTAAGAAATGGTTTAAAAAGTCTGGCCAGTTTTTATAGAGTCACTAAAAATGCACTATGATGTTTGGTACAGCATTTTTGCATTCCTTCTGACTTTAATTAAAAATAACAATAAGGAGATACACATTATTTATTTTATAATGCATGCACAGGAACTACACATCCACTTATATTCCATTATTTACAAAGCGGTACTGTTGTTTATTAGGTATTGTTGTAAGTGGCTTTTGAAATCTGAAACTATATCTACCTTAAGGAACAAATCTTGACATTTATGAATTCATATTGAGGTGCTGGAACACTTAACCAGACATAAACACATTATTTATTTCTCTCTATTCAGACTGATATCACTTCCACAAGGTTGTAAATCAGTAATATCACTATAACTATTCTTTGATTGCACAGTGTGGGGGCATGTGAGTGACAATCCTTCAATTTGACTGCCTATGTTCATGCAAACCTGCTTTACAAAACACACTTGATAAAGTCTCCTTCAGCAAGTGAACTCAAGGACTGATGTTAGGAAACCTCTGAATGAGAGTAAGTTATCACCTTAGCTTTCTAACTATCTGCTTTTCATTTCTTCTAGGTCCTGAGGGTCTCGGCTTCAGCATCACATCCAGGGACGTCCCCATTGGTGGCAGTGCTCCCATTTATGTCAAAAACATCCTTCCTCGAGGGGCCGCTATCCAAGATGGCCGATTGAAAGCTGGAGACCGGCTGCTGGAGGTGGGGCAGCACTTTCTAGCAACCTCTAACCATCGCTCTGTGAAATTGCACATTATTTCAGACAATTAATTAATTACTCTGTTGCTGATATGGGTTTGTTCCAAATTGTAATCTTACAGAGCTTTTGTTGAAATGATTAAAACACGCATTGTTCCCTCTGGCTATACACATTCAGCTCCAGCTTTGAATAACTGGGGAAAAGTGGATAGATTTTACAATATTTTGATTATTCTTCAATAAGACTGACATGAAAATCAGCTAGTGCTCACTCTAATACCAGCAGCAACTGGCTCAGTTGGTATTCTGCATAAAGGTTATGTGGAGGGCACAGATTCCCCCCTCGTCAAAGTCGGAGAGCTCTGTGATTTCTTTTTTGTTGAATTTATGTTTACATTTCTTTGACATTTGTATTGTGCACATTTGAATATTTATGATTTTCATATATTTGTTTTGATGTGCAGGTAAGTGGCGTGGATCTGAATGGAAAGAGCCAGGAAGAGGTGGTGGCCCTGCTCCGAGCCACGCCCATGGGAGGAACTGTGAACCTGTTGGTGACTCGCCCAGAGGACTCCCTGCTGCCCCGAGAAGTGGTCAGTATTATCTCACTTTATGACCTATTTACTTCACTGCTGCTAAAAAAAGAATATCGGCAACACATTGGAATTTGGATTAGTTAAGATAATCCAAAAATTACTTTACTTACCGTCACTGTGGCTGCACCTGTGTGCAATCAACTGCTCAATCAACCCATCAACCCTTCTATTTGTCTATCCTTCCAATTTATGATGTTTTGGTAATTAAACCAGTGTCATATTTGTTCAAATAAGTTGATTGCTACTCTACCGCTAAGTATTTAAGGCTACAAAATACTTCTCCTAAATATGTATATGTGTAGTTAAGCTGTTACCGGGCTAACAAAGTAAACATACACCTTAATATTCGCCAGCCCCCCCAATTTTACCACAACAAAATGAGAGCTGAGAATCACATGAAGGCACATGGTTTCAAAAGGAAAAACGTGAACCTAACCAATCCCAGACACACAAACACACAGTTACCAATCTTTCTCTCACACACTCACATTGAAACAAAGACTTATTTCTGAACCCTTTCAATTAATGGAAGTCATTTGAGCAAGGCACAATTGCAGCTCTTAGCATATGCAGACACATAAACAGGGACAGTAACATGCACACATTGATTATGCACACAAACCCACTCTGGCACTCAGACACACAGTCTACATACAGGGTGACTTTGGCTGTCGTGCAACAGATGGTAAGGCTACTGCCCCCGTCCAGTCTGCGCTCCGTCGCTCTGACAGCAGGCTCCGGCGGCGCAGCACCTTGGCAGTCCAGGGGCCCCTAATGCCAACCTCACTCCTGCCCATAGTACTCAGCCTGGCACCCAGGCTGTTAACCCCACCATAGGATGTTCAACCTGTAGAGAAATTGCCCTCTGAGACACAATTACTCTACTACAACTTCACATTTATTTGTAACATTCATAAAATGGCAAGTGGGCTCATATTATATTCATATTTGTATTAAAGGAGTTATAAGATTTACATTTAGGAAACAATATTACTAATTGAAATTAAGTCAAGGCAACTTAAAGGTCACCTATTATGCAAAATCCACTTTTTCATGTCTTTTATACATCAACATGTGTCCCCTCTGTGTAAAGGAATTCTGAAAGTTTCAGGAAAAAAGATTCGCTCTCTTTTTGTCCTGATCCATTTATATAAAAACCTGTCTGAAAATGAGCTGATCAGATTTGGGCCACTTTATGATGTCATACATTTTTTTTGGCTTGTGTAACCATTAGCCAATAACCAACCAAGGTAACACGCCCCAACCGTATCACCTGAATCTCCTCCTAGAGCACCATTGTGGGTTTTTTAGACCAAATATCTTGCAGAAGGGCTTGGGGAGTGGCACCTTATTTTCATCAAGTAATAGACAGAGAATCAGCACTTTTGAAACAGAGGGGTTTATGGGATGCTACAATGGGTGATCTGTTTGGTATTTTGAGCAAAACCCTTCAGAGACATGTTTTGTATATATCTGAGACCTATAATCTATTGATGAAAAACAGTATAATTGGGGACCTTTAATGTACACAATTTCATTTCCTGCTGCGGCCATTGAACCTCTGACCTTCAGGTGACTCAGCAGGCTTTGTATTCATTGCGGCAAAATCTAAATTCTAACTGGAGGGATGCACCAAACTGATTCATACCTCTTGTCGGCAGCCCAGTCAGAAGTTGAATGATGCTGAAAGTGGTGTTAGTGGTGCGGCTGCCCCTGGGCTGTGACTCACGAGAGGCGCGCTGTGAGAGCTTGATGGCCACACTCCCTAAGCTCCTAAGGCATGACGCGAACAGAAAAAGCCCATAATTGAAACGTTGTCTAATAACCTCTCTCTGTTTATGTATTTTTTCTCTCGTTTCGTCAACTTCTACAAGCTGTAAGATACTGCTATACTCGATATGGCATTGCTTTCCGCGTCATATCACTATTTTCCACTCACTCACTTACTGTTCCTTTTTTCTTATCCTCTCCGTACTTTTTTCGACATTTCCCAGCAGTGCTTTCACAAATCTCAATAATCCCTAAGAGTATGTTCATAAAAATCAGATAAGGAGGCCAAGGCTCTGCCGGTGACAGTTATTGCAAAATAAAGCATGGAGGAAAAGCATGGTTGGTAATTGCCTCCTCTGTCACACACTCTGAATTGGTGCATTAGTGTTAGTGTGGGTGCGTGCGTGTTTACATACTACACACCTCAGACACACAAGTATAGACAATCATTTATGCGCTGTCATTCATTGAGTTCCCTCAATGACAATGCGATGATGTTTTAAATTGTAGCGTGAGTGACATGCCACAGAGCTGTAGGCATCTGTCAAAGACGTATAGCCACACACACACACACACACACACACACACACACACACACACACACACACACACACACACACACACACACACACACACACACACACACACACACACACACAATAGCATCAGATTTAGCCGTATAGATGAAAATAGCAAGGAGCCATTTTTTTGTCTAGTTGACATTTGCCAGCCGATGTTTAATGTCAGCGCAAAAAATCCCTCCACGTCTTCTTTTGTTTTGATGTTTTATTGTATGCCGGTGCGTACTGCACGCGCCCCCAAAGGAATTAATTTACCCTCCCAGCATGTTTGCGTAGCTTTAATTACCACGGTTGGGGTGTATTTTGACATGCTTTCAGTAGCAATAGCAGTAGCTTTCGATAGCTTTCAATAAATGTGTACTCGCTGCAAAGAGAAAAGGTTAAATGGCAATAGAGCAGAGTGGGGTGTTGTCTCTGTGATTCCCCCCTGTCTTTGCCTGTCTGCTTACCTCTTACTCCAAGGATATCGATAGACATTTTCAGGCGGATACAGTATGTTGTATCTGGGAAGTAGCAGCTTTAACCTTTACCAAACACTGGACTCATCTCTAATAAGCTTGCCCTTTCATACCTCTTCCCCCTCTCTTGAACCTTTACCCTCCACCATAATAGACATTTATAATATTCCTAATAGTGATATTTTAACCTCTTTGCCTCTGTTGTGTTGTACAAGTTTGGATCTACTGTATAGGACGACCCTGTTACCTTGAGGTGAAAAGGCATTAGTAGAAAGAAGAGTATAGTGATGACAGAGTTCTTTCTAAAAGTTCAGCTCAAACCCTGCAGACCAAGTCAGAGCGCTGATCAATGGCTTTGTGAACAAAGTCACTTTATGCTGTGTTATTCCTTCACTTGACAGCTCGGGGAGTTTGCATCAATGTTTTTTAAGGCAGACTAAAGGGAGGAAGTCAAAAGGATTGCTGCCCCCTACGGGTTTGGAGGTTAACTCGTCATTTTCATCATAAAAGGAGGTTGCTTTGCAGCGGGAGAAAGACTTTGTCAGGAACCCCTCGGTGTATGAATATGAGTGCTTTGTCATCTCTAGAAAACGTAATGAATAATCTTTGATTGCTTGTGTCTTCGCACCTTTGTAATAGTTTTTGTTACAGGTGAAAGTAAACGGAGCAAGCATCTGACATAAAGAGACTTAGGAATGGGGTTAGAGCAACAAATGTTAAATAAAAAGGGACATTTTAATGGAAAAAGATCATCAATTTAAACATGAATGGATAGGAAATAGTGTTTGATTTTGACTCAGCTATATCCTCTATGTCACCAATCCCTGTTTCAATCATCTGCCTGGTAACACTGACCAAATTAAGGCTCAATAGTAAAGTTATCTTTCAAAGCATCCTCAGCCACATTAAAAATTGCACATCCAGCAGCTTTGTGAAGTAGAGATTGTTTTTCAGCTCCCTTTTTTCCTGAAATAACCAAGTCAAATGTCACGCTTCAATGTGCAACAAGCAATGGTAACAATTTAAGAAATTAGGTAACATTCCCCTGCCAGTGATGGAAATGTACGTTAATGCACCTAGTAGGAAATATAGTTATAAACCCCTTGCTACAAGTAAGTGAATTTGTCTGTTCATACAACAATTTAAAACACCACAAAGGCCTAATATAAAACCTTTAAAATGTAAAACCTGACACACAGTATGGGCTTCATTAGTCGCATATGCTCGAGGGCCATAATAACGTTGTCCATGCTTGCCCTAACATCATTGCATGACCCGAGATGAGCAGTATTTTTTTACTTCCAATGGGACTATGGACCGTGGAGAACAAATGGGCTTGTGAAGCTGCTGTCGTAACACCGTGGACCACATAAGAGCAATTAAACAGTACATTAAAATCCCCTCTTTACGATCATATCACACTTGTCACTGATCCATTAGTAGCTATATCTGCCAAGCAATGAGAATCTTAATCGCACAATTAATTTCAGGCCTCTGATTGATGTGACCGCAAAATGTATGGCTCGTGCGAATGCTGGGGTATGCCGTAGAAAGAAGTATGACAGTATTGCTGACAATTATAGCAGACTAATGGCCTGTTTTATAAGTGCCAACCCTGGTGGCCTGGTTTAAAAATCCTCAATGTCATGTTTTTACCACTGGACTGTAATTGAGGCATTCAAGAGTACTCCATATTTTTGCACAATTGCTTTGGCTGAAATCCTATTTATATAAGTCCCTTAGAAATAAAGGCATTGGGTTCACTGACATTGAACATACTTCCAAACAAGCTCACCATTGTTTTTCTTTTCCAAGTCGAGGCAATCACCATTAGTGTTGCTTTGCAATTATTTACAGCAGATGATATCTATGTACCTTTTGTTGATCATTCCACTAACAGTGTTACACAACTGGCTTTTGTTGTACTGCCAGCACTACATTGAGGTTACCATTTATGACCCCCTTGTTTATAAGTTGAAGACAAGAACAGACTTGTGAAGCTGTATTGATTTCATCACTGCCAAGATCCATTTACCGAGTGGGTAGAGGACAAATGAATTGATTCAAAGCAGAAAAAGATGATCCCGTCTTTGGAGGCAAATATATGATACAGAGATCTGTTGAGGCAGAGCCAAGTTCATCCTCCTCAGTCTTTTATTTACTTCTAAACGTATCATTTCACTTTGTT